GTAACGATCTTATCTGTTTCCGGTAGCAAGCATGCAATAAACTCCGTCATCGGTGCTTCGATGGCCGTAACTCACATCTCACAACACGTAAATCTCACGCGGGTGGGAGGCATGTTCTTTGTTATATTGAGGTGATGAGGTCGTGTTTGGTGCGTTGAGGCAGACCTTTTATCTCTTCCCTAGTGGCGCCATTATTATGTCATGCAATCATTCCACTAATTTGATTTTAATGACGCCAAGAAGGTTTAAGGGATAACTGTTCAGTAGAGCCATTAGGGACACGAACCCGAATTCCCACATAAACCGGCTTACTCTGAATTATTTATACGAAAAATACGGATAGGTGCAAGCCATCGCTCAAAATCCTGTAGGTTTAACGGCAAAAGTAGCTTATGTAGCCCCATTCATATACCCCTAATCCCAGCATTTTGTCCTGCAAAAACGATGGTTATAGAGATTTGGGGGCTGGGGAAATAGGATAGGCAGAGAAGGAAATTTTTAGAGGTGTAACGTGAAAAAAATCTAGTCGAAGTTGCTTCCCGCGGCCGCTGGGAGCAGGTTGTTTCTTCAACCCTGTTATGAGATGGTTGATGGGCAGTCCATCTCCTCACGGTCCACCAACCGAACCGCTAATGCGGCTACTTGACAGTTAACCCTTCCATAATCTTTTATAGTATACCTGCATAAGCCTGGAACTTTTAGTGTTAAACTACAAGTAGCCCATTTTGTTATTGCTGTATTTTAAGGCCTAACGCTGCACAAATTTATAAACTTAAACTTTTGACTACAGAATTGAAAAAGTTTTTTTGAAAATGACACGCCTATCCACATCCTGCTTTACCTGACTTATGCGGGTGATCAATCAAATTTTATGTTGACAAATGTCGTTTTTTTCGAACCTTGGTTATTTGGATTGATATCATCTGCTTGAGACGTACGCGGAGATGCCCATCTATACAGTTGAGCGCTGATATTAGCTTAGATAAGTGCCTAGATTAAATGTAACACCGATTTCGACCCAACTGGAAATCGTTTTCGCCTCTACACTAGCTTATGGTCATGCTTCATACAAAAAGGAGGCATTTTTCCCAAAAGGCCTTTATCCTTATTCCATGCTCTTAAGCTTATTGCATTTAAAACTAATTCTGGGCTGCGCTGTGCTGTGCTGTGGGAATCTGCCAATTTTTATTTCACGCTTAACCTTATCAGCGTCGAAATTCTCATTTTTTTCTATTTACTTTCGTCACTTGCCAAAAGCATGGTCGCCTCATGGAGATGTGTCAGCCTTCTCATCGACGCTACCAGATTGCTATTACTAAAGTCCTCGGAAAGTACATGGATGGCATCGTTTGCGACAGTGAGAAAACTGCCAAGGATTGTATCCAGTACATGAAAGACCAGCGCATTGAGCCGGAGACTTTCCTGCCACTGGATTTCCTTGACGTGAAACCAGTTGATGAGAAATTGCGGTGAGTCTGACAGGTCCTTCACATTTAAAAAAAATTCTCAGCCCTTGTGAGAATTCAATATCATTAAAGTTTGCCCACAAGGGTCCGTGTTGTTCCATGATTTGTTAGAACGGTAAACCGCGCCTCCGGGACCCGAACCCGGCACCCTTGCTGTGAAAACTTGATGCGTTGTGTGTGGCAGGCACAGACTGGTTTTTTTGGAACTCTGTCAGCCACTTGCGTCCAGTCCTCTATTGAATGACTGCCCGATTCAGATAGTGGACTATTGTCTGGAAGAGGAGAAAGAGAGAGTGAGGTGGACTCTGGGGACTGCGTTCCTGCGGCATTCAGCGCTTATTCTTTACTAATAAATAATCTGACGCGCTTAAATTTATCCCGGTACGCTGACATCCGTCGCTTGATAGGCGAGGTAACTCGGTCCTGCCCGCAGGATGGAGAGTCCGACTGTCAGAGCTCCCTCTTAATGCTGCGGCCTCCATGGCACTTTCACTCATTTGGCATCCATGCCGTCCCCTTAATTGTCTACGTGAATCTCCTGATCCATTAGGCGTGGACCAGGCTTCTGTGACACGCATAGGTGGGCTCTAGCTTTGTCATCTACTGCGCCCCATTCTGACTCTGTCACGACACCAAGCTCAGGTGGGTCAGGAAGGGAGGAGAGTGTGGTAGATGCTGCTCATCACTGTTATCACTATAAAATAGTCCGCGCACCAGTCACCTTATCTGCTCCTGCAATGATGCGGGGCACTGTGGACATCGTCGATAGCAACGATGCAACTGT